AGGCTTATAAGCATATGATTTACAGATTGGATACAAACCTGTGAACAATCTGAAGTTGCAGGCACATTTTCTAGTTCTTTTACCAAAACTGCAGCAAGTCCTTAGCTATGAATGGATGAAATGAGGTAACGGATAAGGTATTGATATAAATTGTTATGGTAGAGTAGAATTCACGTTATCTCTTTTAGGTATCTCTCAGCTCAGGGCACTGAAGGCAGCAGTTCTGTTTGAAAGGAGTAGAAGTGCCTTCTTTGGAACAGACATTCACCTGTGTTGCCTTCCCCACTTTCCTCCCTTACGAAACACCATGGTCCTTTGGTTTTATTTACAGTATTTATTAGTGAGTGGAAGACACCTGCCACATACTATGATCATTTATATAATTTTATATAGGGCACACATCAGGCAAAATAAAGGCTCTGTTAAAGTTTGTGGCCAAGCTGCTAATGCTGCCTCAAGAAAATGAATATACCTGCACCAGTCAACAGTGGTTGCAAGAACAGGCAGACACTGCCATATAGTATTGGTGTAATCAGTGACACGCAATCTCCAGTCCAGCAGGCAGTATTCAAGAACCCCACATGGGAGGAAAATACTACCCACAATCATCTACCTTGGAACAGCCAAAACAGGCAGTATAAAAATACAAACTATAAAGCAAAGCATATTTATTAAACAAGCTAATCCGTGACTCAAAATGTGTCAGCTGACAACAGTGACTCTCCTCAGCAGAGGTTTTCAGGGTATGTTAGAGTAACCAGACACTACTTGCAAGTTAATATTGCTTACATGAATCTTAACCTTGTCTTGTTACTCCATTATTGATTGTTTATGATGTTGTGTTAGTAGAAACATTCTATGTTGAGGACTATTTAAATGCCTCTGCTCTAGAAAGTAAACCCCATCTATTTAAGAGAAGCAACCCTTCCCAGTAGTGTTAATAATATTATTGTAATGCTATTGTTGTAGTATTACAACCTTCCAAGGTTTCTAACACAGCAATGCATTCAGAAAAATGTTACAACCCTCCTCTTCTGTCAGTCTTTCCAAGTCAACAGCTGTAAATTGATACTGTCACTGCAAAAAAAGCTCCCACTCACCCTTCCATTCAGAAAGTTTCAGCGTTACAAATCTGGACGTGCCAGGAGATTTGATACTCTGCTTTTGCAGTGCCAGTGCTTCGCTGCACGTGTTCACGCAGATGTCTCATCAGCCATCTAATGAGAATCAGGGCTCCCTAAAGTATTGCTTCTGGATGCTTCTAGCACATTCAGCTCTAAAAATTCAGTGTATTGCTGTTCATTAGCAGCAGTTACTCAACAGCTGCCAATGGGATTATATTAACTCCCGTGGTACAAGGTCAATAAGCTCAACTATTTCTGTTGCTCAACGTGTTCTTCCCAGGAGCTCTTAAAAAAACAAAGCAAAAGGCTTCAAAACGGGCTGCACAAGAAGGGAGTTGCCAGAGCTTCGACCTTGAAACACCACCTACTAAATGGGAAAATTAAGAGAGACCACACAACAAGGTTCAGGTCAGGGGCAACAGCAAAGCCCCACACATGGCACAGCTCTGCCTTCCTTTGCTCTTTTAAACAGACTAGTTCTTGTCTCAGCTCTGCAGGACTATTGATATGATTTGATGGCCCCTTTTCCATAACCTTCTCCTTTAAAAACACATCTTCACACAGGGACACGCTCCTGGAACAGCTTTCCACTGAAGAACAGACTATCATGAAGCCTGGAAGGGCTGTTCTTAAACTGAGGGCTCTGGCTGGGCTGGAGCCTCTGCAGGAACAAGCAGTTGAGTGTCTTGATTTGCTGAGCTCTGCACTGCAGACACTGTATTTCCAGCTCTGGCACGGGATAATTAAATCCAGTAGCCACTATTCTAGTTCCCACTCGGTTACTTTTGGGGATGGCAAGGACAAGAAGTGCCTCTGCAGACCATCTACAGGATTCACACAGGTTGCAGGTGCTCTGACAGCATTTGGGGACTGCCAGTTAACACCTGGAAATTGGGATGCAAAGAGCTGCTGTGCCTACAGCCTGACCCTGAAGTGCAGCCCAGCAGATGACACGTGCCTAAGGCTGTTTCCTACTTCAGAAACCCACAGGCTTTACAGGGAACCAAATTACAATTCACAGTTCCTCGTTATAGTTGACTTCTCTACCGTGCAATCACTCACAACAAACCAACATTATCAATTCTTATCTAAAACACAGAACTCCTACTGAGTTGTCAACTGAGGATTTAAAAGTTTTGAGCTTGAGGCTTTTCTTCAGACATTTGATAGTAGAGAATCACCTCTGCTGAAGAACTTCCTAATTCTAGCAAAATTATGTGTCCAAGACAGTTCTCAGGTCTAATTTCAGCAGCTTGGCTTTGTTTGAGTTCCTTTAATTCTCTATAAACAAGATGCACCTTTTTTTTTTTTTTTTTCCCCTTCTCCTTTCTCTTGGTTTCATATTCCAAGCTCGGGAGGGAAAGGAAAAAACTTCACCAAGAAAAACCCAAACATAAAACCCCCCAAGAATTTAAAACAGTGAATATAAGGAAAAGGCCAAAGAGTGTAATTTATACCTACTTATTATCAGGGCCAGTCCCATTCACCTCAATGTCACTGGTGATCTTCTCTATTTATTCTATGAATATTCTGTCTAAAATTTGGCAATCTCAAATGTGTTGGGTTGACTGTACTCAACTAGCTAAACTAATCTAAATTCATTCAACACTAGAACAGATCTCTTCCTTATGCCTTCAGTCCCAAAACAAACCTGAAAGAGCTGTCAAGTCTCCTAAGCTGAGTGCAGTTAATGGAGATGGCAAAATTCGAAATATTTTAATTTATTAAAAGGGTCCATCCAAGTCTGGTTTAGGAAAACAAATCAGCTTGAAGCCATCCCTGACTGTTACACTGACAGACATCGTGCTTTGCATCACAACTGCGTTAAAAAGCTCACAAATTCGATGGTAAAAATAAGTCTTCATGAAATATGTTCTGAAATTGAAAACCAAAAGATGTTGAAAATTCAAAAAAATTTCAGTCTTTGAAACAAGATGTCTTATATGAATGATGCTAATTTTAACCCTCTCATTATCCTCCTTGTAAGGAAATTCCTACCACACCTCAAATGAAAACCAAGATCCAACCACATGACTTGACCAAGATCACAAAGCACAGACTTGTTTGTCTCCAAGACAGCTCAGGCAACAAAACAGGAACCGAATCTCAATATATCCCATGGCCAGAGCTGCATCATCTTCTGCAGCTCAAAATGCTTTAAATCAAGAGCTTTACCACAGTTTCTCAAAAGGACAGACCCTCCTTCACTGCCACCATGGATTTTTGAATGCCCCATGAGATTTCAAGTCTCTTAATAGCTTAAGAGACTTTGGGACATAACCAGAAGAAGGAAACAATATGAAAAATATCAGGTATGGAATTAAAACTCTTTTATCTTTAGATAAAATTGCTTTAAACATTACATATATTTTGTTTAGAACCGTTAATAGAACAAAACTTCCAAGGATCTGCAACATGTTCTTTGTCTTGTGCTTAAAAAATACCCCAAGTCTGTAGCAGCCAATAACATTTTACTAATTGGGCACAACAAACTTGGTGGGTTTTTTAATCCCTTGTTACGAATGTATTCTAATTATTTCAAAAATTACACTGTCTTTAGTATTACTTGGGGTTAGTGGTGCAACGCAGCTCTTCAACTACTTCTGGTACTGTTAATCGAGGATTATGGAGTTTTAATTTCTCTCTTTCTACCTCTGTCTTGTATTCTGTATTCTCTACATAAATACATGACTGCTTTAATTTAGTTCCAGTATTCGCCAACTCCTACAATATTTTTTTGGCCATGACTTCTGGTGCTTTTCTTTATATCCCAAATTTTAGAATCATGTAAGATTGGTCATCTAAAACATGTTCTTGTTCAAGTGTAAAAGAAGAGACTTGAAAAGGTCGAGCAGATCAGAGTCACAAAGCTCAAAGTCAAAAAAAGAAACTTAGTATTATTGCAATATTTTTTAAAACATGGTACCTCCAAGACACTTTTTAAGAAACATCTTTAAGAACCAGATTCTTTGGTTTTGAATAGATTTGGAAATAACTTAATTCTTCTACCAAACCAAAAGCTTAATTAAATGCTTTGGATAAATCAAATACTCAATCCACTTCACAAAAAACCTGTCCATCATCTCAATTTTTTTTGCGTATATGACAGTTGAGGTATCATACAGCAGCAAAGGCAGATAAATGTGCTTTTTTTCTTTAATTCTCCTTAAAAGCTACAAGAAATATTTTCCTTGAGTAAAATGGTTCATGTCTCACGTCATACTTGCCTTTTTTGTAAGGTTTATGCTCTCTCTGCACAACTCAGCAAAACAGTAAAAACTTACTGTGAACCCTTAACTTCACCACCACCTCTCTGACAGCCCTGCAGAGCACAAGGCTTTGCAGGAAGGAGACAGGACAGGTAGATTGGGGAGAGAAAAATGGAAGATGTTTATAAGAGCTCTTCTATGGAATATGTTTCCCCTCAGTTTTGGCAAAGGTGAATTTTTTTTTACTGTTTCTTAACTTCCCGCTCAGAGGACAAACCCTTTGCAATCACTGCAGCTGAACCAATGAACTAATAACCTCTGTAATCATTTCTGAAGTCTTATTCTCTTCTTTTTTTTTTTTTTTTTTTTTTTTTTTTTTTTTTTTTTTTTTTTTTTTTTTTTTTTTTTTTTTTTTTTTTTTTTTTTTTTTTTTTTTTTTTTTTTTTTTTTTTTTTTTTTTTTTTTTTTTTTTTTTTTTTTTTTTTTTTTTTTTTTTTTTTTTTTTTTTT